GTTGCGGGACGCACTGCGGACGGCAGCCATAGGGGCTTTTCGGTGGAGCTCGTCCTATGGGGCCACGAAACGTGCGAGGGGTGTGCCGAAATGGGTGTGCGGGGCGCATGCGGACGGCAGCACTGGGGCCTTCGGTGGAGCTCCCTGTGGGGCCACGAAACGTGTGAGGGGTGTGCCGAAATGGGTGTGCGGGACGCATGCGGACGGCAGCCATGGGGCCTTCGGTGGAGCTCCCTATGGGGCCACGAAACGTGTGAGGGGTGTGCCGAAATGGGTGCGCGGGACGCATGCGGACGGCAGCGGAGGAGGAGGAGAGGAGGAGGAGGAGAGGAGGTGGGACGCGGGCCGTCCTCTCTTCAAAACGAGGACCCAACGCCACAGGATGGCTGGGAAAAAATTAGCCTGGCGAAGGACCCAACCATATGCAGTTGAGAGTACCGCAATTGTGAATATCTTATTCGGTGGCGCTCCCTATGGGGCCACGAGCCGTATGAGGGGTGTGCCGAAATGCGCGGCAGTGTACACAACACGAACGAAGACGATAGGTCCGAATATGAAAGCTTGAGCGCGTGCGAGTCGGATCGCGAGCGAGTCTGATTATGAATGAATCTGCGCGCGATTGATTCTATTCGCATGAATGCGTGCATGGATACGCCCAGTGTAAATGTATGTATACGACTGTGAACAGTTTGGGTCTGCGTGACTCTCGGTACTCGTGACTCTGAGCGTCGCCTCTGCAGGGGGCTTCCCTGGGAACCCCGACGGCAGCGCCCGCGCGCCGCGACGCCCATGTCGGCACGCCACACACGAGGATCGCGCTCGCTTCCTCCCCTCATTTTTTCCATCTCCTTTGCCCGCGCACTCCAAAGACCAAGGCTGCGGGCGCAGCGCAAGGCGGAGCCCCCGCGACGCGCGCAGGTCGCCCCGAAGGGGTCGCAGTGACGCGCGCGGTTCGTCCGCTGAGCGGATCAGAGAGTGATTGCTGGCTGACTCGTAGCGCGCATGGCTCTGGCCGCCAGGCAGAGCGACGAGGGGCGGGCGCGGCGCTGGGCAGAGCGCAATGCGGAGTTTGCGCGACGCGGGCTGATCGCCCCGAGAGGGTCAAAGCGACGCGCGCGAGTCGTCCGCGGCGCGAGGCCAAGCAGTCGGACAGCCAAGAGAAGGCGCGGCTGGGGCGGGCCGCTCCTCAGGTCAGGCCTCGCGGATAAACTCTGTGAAGCCGAGCTCCCTGGCGGGGGCCGTCGCCTCCCTCCTGCACCGCTTCGTGCGCGCCGCAAACTGCTCCAGCTGCTTACGCAAGCCCTCCGGCGGCCCGGCCAGGAAGAACTCGATGCGCGGCGCCCGCATGAGCAGGAGGTCCTCGTGGCGCGTGGCGCGCGAGAGCAGCGCGTAGAGCTCCAGCCACCAGTCGTCGCCCCCCTTCTTGCCGTTCCCGACCTCGTGGCGGCCGCAGTCCAGGATCACGCCTGGGCGACGTCGGCCGAGGGAGCAGTGCGCCGGGCAGCCGACGGCCCAGGGCGAGAGTCCACAAGACCGAAGGATGGCTGCGGACTGCTCGCGCCTCGGAGGTCTGGCCGTCCCCGGAGCGCCGTTCCCCCGCCCCGTCGCCTTCTCGCATGGTGCGCCCCTGGCACGCCACCGCGGTGATGACCCTGCCGTGCGAGAACGGGAAGCCCGCCCGGGTGACCTTGGAGGTGCGGAAGGTGAACGGCTCCGACGTGCGGGGCTCGATGAACACCAGCGGGCCCGTGAGGTCCCCCGCGAGGCTCTCGTCGTGGCGCTCGAGGTCATCCACGAAGGGCGCGCTCGCGTACTTCTCCATGCGCACCCAGAACCCCAGCGGCAAGTGCTTTAGATAGATCCTCTTCTCCCCGTCTCTCTCGGCCTTGTCGACGTCGCCCCGATCTCGAGGGTCCACGACGATGTGCACGATCTGCCCCTCGGCATCCTTGACGAGGCCGCTCTTGAGGTCCAGCGCCTCCAGGAGCCAGATCCGCATGCCCACGTGCACCGGGAGCAGTCCGTGCACGCCACCGGTGTTCTTCGGGCTGGCACAGTTCATCATCGTGGCGGCGTCCTTCCTGCTCATCGTCGGGGCAGACCTGTCGGCGGCCTGCACAAGGAAGAGAGGCTTCTTCAGGACGTCCGCGTCCCGCTGGGCACGCATGTTCATCCAGCGCGCCACGGTGTCCCAATAGGACCCGATCATGTGGCCGTTCTGGAACCTGTCCTCCCGGAGTCTACGATCATCGGGTTTCAGCTGCATGGCGTTCCACGTGGCCCGGATGGCCGGCGGGACCTGCTTCCCCGGCTTGCGCAGGAACGCCATGAGGTCCCTGAGTTTCGGGTCCTTGAAGCGGTTGGACGCCTGGAGCTCGAAGCACAGCGGCGTGTTGCAGAAGAGCTTCATCACTGCCTGGTACTCTGGTGCGAGGTTGATGCCCGCCGCCGCCAGTTCCTCGAAGCTGGAGATGAGCGACACCTTGCCTCCCGTCGGCTTCAGCTGCAGGAAGTCCCCCAGGTGGATCACGATGGGCATCCGGCCGAAGGCGCCGCCGACCTGGTCGTACTCCCGCTCCTCCGCGCCCCACTCGGCCTTGCGTCCCAGGTAGGACCGGGACCCGCACTGGGACCTTGCGTCCCGGACTGCGCCACTGGGACCTTCGGCGGAGCTCCCTGTGGGGCCACGAAACGTGTGAGGGGTGTGCCGAAATGGGTGTGCGGGACGCATGCGGACGGCAGCATGGGGCCTTCGGTGGAGCTCCCTATGGGGCCACGAAACGTGTGAGGGGTGTGCCGAAATGGGTGTGCGGGACGCATGCGGACGGCAGCACTGGGGCCTTCGGTGGAGCTCCCTGTGGGGCCACGAAACGTGTGAGGGGTGTGCCGAAATGGGTGTGCGGGACGCATGCGGACGGCAGCCATGGGGCCTTCGGTGGAGCTCCCTATGGGGCCACGAAACGTGTGAGGGGTGTGCCGAAATGGGTGTGCGGGACGCATGCGGACGGCAGCACTGGGGCCTTCGGTGGAGCTCCCTGTGGGGCCACGAAACGTGTGAGGGGTGTGCCGAAATGGGTGTGCGGGACGCATGCGGACGGCAGCCCTGGGGCCTTCGGTGGAGCTCCCTATGGGGCCACGAAACGTGTGAGGGGTGTGCCGAAATGGGTGTGCGGGACGCATGCGGACGGCAGCACTGGGGCCTTCGGTGGAGCTCCCTGTGGGGCCACGAAACGTGTGAGGGGTGTGCCGAAATGGGTGTGCGGGACGCATGCGGACGCAGCATGGGGCCTTCGGTGGAGCTCCCTATGGGGCCACGAAACGTGTGAGGGGTTGCCGAAATGGGTGTGCGGGACGCATGCGGACGGCAGCCATGGGGCCTTCGGTGGAGCTCCCTATGGGGCCACGAAACGTGTGAGGGGTGTGCCGAAATGGGTGTGCGGGACGCATGCGGACGGCAGCCACTGGGGCCTTCGGTGGAGCTCCCTATGGGGCCACGAAACGTGTGAGGGGTGTGCCGAAATGGGTGTAGGGGACGCATGCGGGCGGCAGCCCTCGGGCCTTCGGTGGAGCTCCCTATGGGGCCACGAAACGTGTGAGGGGTGTGCCGAAGTGGGTGATGACGATGACGATGACGACGATGACAATGACGATGACGATGATGATGATGATGATGGCGATGATGATGATGAATGATGATGATGTGATGATGAAGATGATGATGAATGATGATGATGATGATGATGATGATGATGATGATGATGATGATGATGATGATGATGATGATGATGATGGAGAGGAGGGAGGATGGGGAGGAGAGAGGAGGAGGAGGAGGTGGGACGCGGGGCGCTGTCTCTTCAAAACGAGGACCCAACACCACAGGATGGTTGGGAACAATTCGCGGGGGGGGGGCTAATACTTTCAGGCCGCCATCGGGGGAAGAGGGAGAGTAGTATTCATATTGAGTAAATGTAAGAGGGGAGAGCGGGGGGGAAGGGGGGGGGGCAGGAGAGAGGGGGAGGGGGACAGGAGAGAGGAGGGGAGGGAGGTGGAGAGGGGGGGCCGGGATCATCACCATCTCCATCTCCATCACCATCACCATCACCATCGTCACATCACCATC